CAAAAACACACAGAGACAGACATACTTAGCGAATTATATGTAGTAGGGATTATTCGAATATGAGATAAATTGTTCGAGTCTAAGTTTTGGGTAGCTTTCACATTACCCCAGTTGAAGAATGTATCTCTTTCATGAAGTAGATTTCACGTCACGATTTAGCGCCATTACGCGTTACACGACAGTGTTGTTCTCTGTATTGAGAAAGAATTATTTCTCCGCTACAAAAACAATTCGTCTCAGTGTTCCTTCGAGGGACGTTACTTTCTGGTTAAAGCAACATTATTTTGAGCTTTTTGAATTTTAGAGAAAGATTATTGAAAAGATTCACTATAAACTCAAATAATGGTACACTTATATTAATTCAGATTTCTCCAAGGCTTTTACGCTCGATAAGGAGCGAATTGATTCAGTTGTTTGGAACGTCTCGTATTGATGTACGATTGGGAGCTCACCGCCGAAGCCTTGAGATTGCGACTAACTCTGCGTCCACGTGAGAATTTCTGACTTGCCTTTTCCTTTTGATTGTGTTAGCAATTTGGGAGAGATAAGGAATCTGGAATTAGTTTTGAACCACATTTTTTTGTTAGGCACTTTCGCTACGAATTCATGGCTATCATGGCTACAAATTGCATTGACTTGTTGCAAGGACATCATTTTTTTACTAGTTGCCTGAGTTTGAGGTGGAGCAGAGGCGTGGAGCGGTTTCCCAGAGGCAAAACTGCTGCACAAGTGCATCACAGCCTGCGATTATTGGTTGGAATGAGTAATGCTCGTCGAGGAGCAACATCCTTCCTCGCAGGGTCAACCGTCACGTTCGAACATTTTCGGGATTTTTGCGACCCCCTAGCTCTCGAGGGGGTCCAGTTGCGACCCCCTGTTTTTGTTAATAAGAGTGCTAGACATGAATCCGTTGCGCCAGAAAGCGTCTGCGCGTCGCAGCCTTGGAGCGCGGCAGGTATCACCCGGGCGCTGGAAGAACGGGACGCGGCGAAGAAAAAATTTTAGAGGGGAATAACTTTCTTGGACGTACTTTTTTGACTTGTTGAGGTAGATTTTGATTGTGCCTGAGGTGCGCTTCCAGAAAACTACAAGGATTGCCTAACTCTCCGGAAAGTACTTCTGTTAGAAGTGGAAAACCCAAAATTCTAAGAAGGCGCACCTTCAACTTTGAAGGCCCATAAAATCTTTCGTATGCGACATTTTGGAAATCTGTAAAAAGTTTCAGAAACTTCAAATATTTCTCTAACAAAACAGTATAAAAAGTTTAGTGATTGTCCCCTTTTTCAAAAAATTGTCCCGTTCGAACATTTTTCGTGCAAAAGCGAGTTTTTGGGCTTTCAGCGACCATAACTCACTTCATTTTCATTTCTGTGATGCACTTTTTTCATGGGGTGAAAGTACAGGATTTGCTCTTTCTAACAAGCCCCAAACCGTTTTTCAAAGTTTATTTTTCGAGAAAATCACACGTTCGAACATTTTGGGGGGTTTTGCCGAACACTTTTTTTGAAATCGCGAGTTTTTGGGCTTTAAGCGGGCATAACTCACTTCATTTTCATTTCTGTGATGCACTTTTTTCATGGGGTGAAAGTGCAGGATTTGCTCTTTCTGACAAGCACCAAACCGTTTTTCAAAATCCATTTTCCGAGAAAATCACACGTTCGAACATTTTGTTCCCATAGGTTTTTGAGCAGCACATGCGAGTTTTTGAGCTTTCAGCAATAATAACTTCCTTCAAAGAACTTGATGGGGAGGGGCGAAGACATTTTTAAAGACTGCCGAGATTCAGCGCCCCCACCCTCACCCCCCCTTCTTTATGTAATTTTACCGTTGTCTGGAAGAATCGTCCTCAGAAAATTAGGTCCCGAAGAACTTTAATTTCAGCCCCGAGAAGTCAAACCTTTCATAGGGATGCATTCAACTGTTCTTTATTCCTCAAGGAAAACACCGTAATTTGCCTAAAACTGTCTCTCTGTGCATAATTAATCTAATGCGGTCTGCACAAACAATTCTTGCCCTCGGATACGCCACGCACGCGCCTGTGGCTGGCAGTCCTCGAAATTGCGACCCCCTTCCGACCAAAATGCGACCCCTTCGTTCGAACAGTTCGAACGGACGGTTGACCCTGCTTCCTCGCCACAAGCTGTGAGCGGTACAATCCTTCACAGGGGGTTAGTCTGAAGTTCTCCGGAGAGAAACTGCTTGTTCTTCATTATAGCTTCATTATACCAATTTCCAATCAGTGCAAATCTAGGCAATTTTCAAGGGTATTAAAGGAACCCGACTACTTCCCGCTCCAACATTCACAGGATTTCACAAAGAAGTCGTTCTGCGATAACTCCCTGGAGTTATCCCGTGGTCTCTCACCGAAAGCGAGTTTTGAATGACAGTCGACGTGTGTTAAAAACTGCTCGATCATAAGCGAACGACATGCTGGATAAATTTTTTTTGCTTAGGATGGAACAGATTTCATACGGAAACCCTCACAGGAAATCGCAAGCGCTGACAGGCAGTGTGAAGCCCCCGCTCCGAAGCAAAGTTTCCATACCTTAGAAGAGACAATCTCATTTTTCTTCAGCTCCACCAATATTCTTTTTGAAGTGCCACTGCGACGCCGATTGAAATCTGTGAACAACTGTGAGAGGTGGTGTTCCGGGCCTTTACTTCCCTACAGTCCTAAGGGATGTTCCTCATGATGGTAAACCAAGATTGACTACGCCACTCGAGGGAGGCGGTGGAGTAGCTGACAAGGGAAGGCATCATCTCGCTGACTCACCTAACTTAATCACATTACCAAACCCTTGGTGACCATACTCTCAGACTTGCAGTGATGGAAAAAAAATCAAAACCCTCAGGATATCGATGCAGTCGATGAATGGCTCCGTCTCCTTTTTTTCTGGATGGGTATCAGTGCTCTTTCAAATTGATAAAGTGGCGTCTAGATTGAGAAGGTTTCACGGAATAGGTATTGCGCTCTTATCCCTATCCTGTGATTATGTACTGGATAGAGGAATTGGATTTTCTCAAAATTCTTGGGACATGCCATCTCCAGGTTGAAAACGATCAGGAAACTGAGAAAATTCAAAAGTAACCAGATGACGGGAAAAGTTCTAAGCCAAGATTGAGGTCATTGGCGCAAGAGCATGTGTGGAAGCGCCTTTAGCAAAGAATGAGAAGAAAGCCCGAGCGGTTATGGAGTAGCCAAGGGGCACGGAGGTGTGCCGAGAGGGAGAGAGGGATCGGGTCGATCCACATTTTACGCTTTTGTGCTTTGAAAATTTGTCCTCTCTATCGACAGCAGTTCTCGCTCAATTTTGAACGTCAATTTTTTTTTGATTTCTTCCGTCCTTTCGAGTCGATGAACCATTTTTTTCACTTCCAAAGATCTCTGAATTGTTGGAAGAGAATCCATTCACAAAATGGATCCATTCGAATCTTTTTTTCTTTCAATTTCGAGGATTTGGGTGATTTTTAAATCATTCGATTAAGTCGTTCCGTTCAGAGGAGTTTAGAAATTATTTACAAAATATCACAAAGTAACGACAGAAGCGTGTTCAAGTGGGGCCTTATCATCCTTTAATACCTGTTGTTTTCAGTTATGCTCGCGTCTGCTCATTTTTCGATGTCAACGATAGCTACTGTTTTGTTGATGACAAACCACGAACGTTCGAGCAGAGACTTTGCTCATCAGAGATTGGGAAAAAAGCGGCTCCAAGGAATTCGTGGATTGCACCTCCCAGGTAAGATTTTGAATGAATTGTTTTCTTAGCTTTATTTTATCTTTGAATAAAAACATCTTCGTTGATGTCTCTCAGGATATCTGCGGGCATACTGCTATCCGTTGCCCTATCATCGCTGATGTTGGTGACCATTCGGCTTATTCGAACTAGATTTTCAGTAGAGTTCAACACGCTTTTCTGAAGGGGGCGTCTCCTAAGCGATCGATGTAAAGTTCTTCATCACTAGAAATTTATTCTCATCAACAGTTTTACAATAGTAATGTATAATTACACCCGTGCACAGATATCACTTGTTGAATAATGGCTAGGTGGCAAAATACGACGGTAGCAGGGGATATGTTCAGATATTGTTCTAGAGATCCAGGGAGATCCATTTAACTTTGAGATAGATTGACATGACTTCGTAAGCACGTTACGTTTGAATGTTTCGTTTTGAGAGGGCGTTCCTCGCCGCTGACGTTGGTCCGATGGCCCTAAAATAGAATAATTTTGTTGAAAATTGCGTATAATTCATAGAATGTGTGCATTTGGATAAAAATATCAATACACTGAGTAAATGTCGTAGTGTTCATCTGAATTTGGATAGCACGGTCTTGCGAAGCGCAGCGTTACCCTCTCCATTTGAAGGGACCCTCTCATCCAACTCGCTGACAAACCATTCCTTCTATTGGGTTGATCCATAATTCCTGGCCAGAATCAATTTTCTTCATGTCAAATTAGTGTCATTACGAAATAAGTTAGTATGTTGAAGGAGGCATCAGTACCTTAAACTAGGATGTTCCAGAAGGTCAAAGGGCAGTGGAATAAGTAAGTAGGGATCGAAATGGATCAACGACCAAAGCAGGCGATTATGCTTAACGATCATTTAAAGAAGAACCTTGCAAGGAGTGCAGTAGGCAAGACCAGCGCTGTGTTTGCCTCAGTCTTTGCTACTGATCGGGCACTGAGCTATTGGCTTGAAAGCATCGGCAAAGGCGATACAAGCTGCAAAGTTTGACCTCATCCTGGCCCCCAGTCACTTTCGATGAGGATCCATTGCGCTGTGAATCGGAAGTTCACCCGGACGCTACCACCTGAGATTTGTAGCAGATACCTGGGCACAGCCGATGCACCACCGCAAGCTGTCTGAATGAAACGGGCTGTAGCAGAATGAAGTTTCGATGGGAACGGCATGCATCTCTGACCATGACCGAGAAGCAGACCTGACCATCTGCAGAAATTTCATTCTGCGCAGGCATAGCCTGGACTTTCCCTAGTCGGTCACCAGTGGAGATGAGTCATGAGTCCACTACGACAACAACACGCGGCACGCCTTATGGCTATCTCGCAGCCTGAACCCACCATCTCACCCAAAACCCGACCTCTTTCGTCAGAGAATATTACCCCCATTTGTAGGATTGGTCGGGTATCCCACTTTGAGAACCGCTTCATCTTATATAGACAACCACTGCGAAGATAACCATGGAATAACTCCCGAGGTTGGCCGCAGCAGTGCGAGAGAACCATTCGAAACGTCTCAAAATCTCCTTTCTCCGGATGAACGCCCGACCTCACATTGCAAGATAACTCGCCACCTTCTGAAGGAAACTGGCTGGATCGCGATACCACATCTATCGTATAGCCCTAACATTACTTCATCGCACTATCCCCTTCTCGATGCCCTGAAGCAGTACCTTCGAGAGAAAGGGGTCACTGAATACAACCACCCAAAAAACGACCTCTCCGAACTCTTCATCCCATAGCTCCACTCGTTTTGAGAGGAATGCATCCATTCGCTGCCTAGCAAATGAATGCGTATCAGCGATTGCGACGGTGGTTATATTGTTGATCAGTTATTCTCCAGGAAAGAAAAAACTCAATGAAATGAAAGTGGCGAAATTCGGCTCGAAATTATGGATCAGCCCAATACATTGCAAAAGTTGTGTGTGAAGGTCAAGCATGGTGACGAGGTGATTTCATAATTCTACAGCTGTCTGCTCCAACAACTTTCTTTTCACCACCAAGTCTGACTCTAGTGTTTAAAAAAAACTTGAAGTAACCAGTAACCAAACAGTTCTTTCCAAGATCACCACGGTCCTACCTCTACCCTTACCCTGTCCCTCTTGCTTGGGAGGTTAGGATACACCAAAAATATCTATTCATTAAAATCGTTCGCTTCAAAGACTCCCTATCCAGCCTTAAACCCTTCAGTACAGGTTTATCCTCCCCTAACACGCATAGTTTAAAAAGCGCTCGTTTCATTAAAAAATACACAACCCTGACTGACAAAACTCGTGTACAGAATCCTCAAGGCAGATGTCGAACTTTTTGGCTAACCACTAGCGATTGGCCGCAAAGTCTGACACCTGCCTAATTGTTTTCTCGCAGTTGTTCAACAATAACCAACAGCGTTTTGGCAAAGCTCAGCTTGTAACAGCTCAGTGATGCTCTTTTGTTTGTAGCGTGAGTCTAATTGCCAGTTGCTATTTGTAGCAGCCTATTGAACTAACAATAGGCGACAAATTGACGATTTGAAGAGGCTCCTCATGGCTTAGTATGACGCTGAGTTGTCAGCTTCGGTCAATTAACTATGTATGAAATAAATAATTACGCAATACAAGAGTAGCAACTGTTAGATCGAAGTTGTGCTGTTGTTGTGAACCTTTTGATATTGATGTTATGTTTTGATAATGGGATTGCTTTCGATATTTGTACTGGTTTCGCTGCTTGGTTTAGAAAAGGACTGACCTTCCACCTCGTACGCGAAAAATCGTCATATCTCGAATCCAGCAGTTGGGTGGTCTCATAATGTGGCTGGCTGACATACATGGACTTTTTCCGCGGTTTGCAAACCCTGATACCGACCCGTTGTAGCAGCTGAAAACATAAGGTCATATGATAGATGTATGATCAGGGGCCGTATTCTATCCTTCCCCAAGGGTAGGGGAACAAAAAACCTTGGAATTATCGACCTTCACAACATAGCTTCCTCGCTTTGAACACGCTACTTTTACACACATGCTTACTTACGAACAAGCCCTTTTTTATGGTAAGAGCTATTCTTACGGACAAGCAAAAAAAATTGAAGGTCTTCCCCCCCCCATCCAGGGAAGGATAGCGTTCGGCTCAAGAAGATGTTCAATTAGACTACAATCACGCTCACGGCCACATAGCTTTTAGCCATCTGCCAGAACCAACCTGAATGAATATGGCGCGATATTTGCTCCCAAAAATTAGATAAATGACTATAGTTGAAGCTCCATTGATGTTTACAAGTAAAGCGGACACCTGAAACAGAATATATGAGCAGTCATAGGATTCACTCAAGACGAGAAGCACGAACCTCCACAAGAAGAGTCTCCAACTGTGTGTGGCCGTAGGCGCCGGTCAGCTCAAGTACATTGTTGGCGAACGCCAGCAGGTTGAACAGAAGGAACTCGGTTGTTATTGCCACCAACATCACCGTCACGCCGTTCTCTTTCCGATCTGCAAAGCATTTATGAGCTTCTGAACTAGAAACCTAAAGCGATATTCAGTGATCTAAACCAGGATCTCTATAAAGGTGTGATAACTATTTTTTGCCCCACTCTTAGTCACTGTTTACATTTGGACCATTATACTATATGTATGCTGATGTTTCACTCCATCGACATGGTTTTCCTAACAGCTCACTCTGTTTTTCTTCTTATTTTCTTTGTATTCCCAGAATAGAACACCTGCAAACGGGTACATTCATTCAAAGGATGGATGTTCTTTGTGGTCATCTGATGAAATAATTGTCAATAAACTGAAAACTCACCATTGGGTACTTGAGAGGAACCACTGACAGGTAAGGCGGCTGTAGTGACAGCATTTGAAGCCGTGTTTGAGACGGTCACAGCGTCAACCGCAATGGCTCCACCTTCACGCATCTCCGCGGATGCATTGTCATCATCCGACGCATTCTAAAAAAGCAATTTGGAGCTGGCGGTCAACTTTGGTCAACATAATGTAAGCATATACTTCCGGAGAAAAAAGGTCTCGGTAGCTGGAATTCATGTAAAAGCCCAAAAACGGTATACAATCGTTTTTCTTAACTCTTTCATTGTTAATAAGTAGTAGGGGAAAGGGGACGGACGTGTCGTTGGATTGGCTCTACCAGACTCTTCTTCTGCTCCTTTATCATGTGCTCGCTAGAACTTCCGGTTAAATTGAACCCGCCACAACACACTTTATTGTCAACTTTCGTATCCGCTGTGTGAATCTGCGCGTCAGGAAAGGCGGCAAGGTCGACGGTCTGTCCTCTGGCAACATCATGCACCGGTTTCGGACTCCGATATGCTACAGACATTCAACGATCACACTTTCAAGAGTGTGGACCACAGCCACCTTTTACCGTCTGTGTCAGCTCGGTCGCCATTCACCATCGTCACCATCTAATAAGTAAAAGAGTGAAAGTTCACTCAAAGCGTCTTAATGTTTAGATACATAGATCTCTAGACGTCTCAATATATGATATACATAGATCTCATTCTAAATGGCCGGACTGGCCCATTGACTTTTCTCTTAGAGGCATTTGATGGGCGGCGACTCCGATGGGCCTCAACGCTACGAGTGTATTTAGTGTCTTCCAATTCACGGACTTACGCTAGAAGTTATACACCCAGCAATATGCATAAGTGGAGCAATAGAGTACAAGGTGTAATATATGCTGCACGCTCGTAAGGGACTAATATTATAGAAGCGATCCATGTCGACTGTAGTTCTTCAGCTTATCATCTGAATGATAACATTGGAATTTCTAATCTTAAAGGCGGATTTCACGATGAAAAAGCAACCCATTTCAAATTAACTTAGAGATGGTGAGTGGTACACGAAAGAAGGAAAACCATGAAAACGGCCCAGAACCCGAGAAATGGGACCCCTTCCTTGCCCGTTGATTTGCGCATTGCGACTCATCGGTGCTGCCCTCTTCAACGCTAACGCTCTCTCTGCTGAACGAGCAGGACGCAGGCACGAGAAGGCGCGAGAGGGGCGTACCGGGCCAATAGCGCGCCAACTGGTCTCGAGAAAAGCCATGCTAGATCAAGGTGCGAATTGCGTGTCTATCCGCCCCCTTAGGAGGTCCACTTTTCTCTCCACTAGGTAGGTTTCCCTTTTCTACTCTCCTTATCGAGGAATCCTCCTTGAGTAGTAAATGACGGAGTGCATTGATTCCTGGACTTCCAAATCCACTGCAAATTTCTTGGAACAGGGTGCTCCAGGTAAGCCACGGAATAACAGAATAATAAGAACTTGATTTCAGTATAATGCAGTTTACATAGCACTGCGAAAAGAAGCGTAGACAGACTAATATAATAGTTGAGGAAAGAACAATCAAAGTCTGTGAACGTGCTGTGCGACATGTACTGGTATTGGTTGTCTGCAACGTGAGATCCGCTCGCTATTATTCCGTCAATTAATAACGAACCTGGTATCAGTGTTCTGCCCCAACAGTTCCTCTTACTTATTTGCTAGTCGCCACCTTCAGAATGCACATATAACCGCTCCATAAACTTATGTGGGTCGTTAATTCGCCACGCTAACTTGCTGAAAGTGGCCGCAAACCGGCAGTGAAACCGCCATTAGAACACTATCGGTCTTAGGTCGTAGAACAAACATAACAGGATTAAAAACATTCGGCGTTAATCAAACCCATTTTGGGAAGGGTCACGCAGTTCCACTGGGAATAGTAGTGGTTTTGAATGAGATTCGGCCGCTGGCACCTAGCCGATCCCATAGGTATGAAAAGTATTCCTGGTCTGAACGACGTACGGTCCCCGAGCGTATGTACGCACGAAAAGTAGCGCCATCTGCCGGTACACCACTTCTGCCCTAGACATGCCTCCATATATTCACTCAATGACAAATGACTTCAGTCAGAGAAGGCGGAAACCGTTGTTTCTGTGGTAGCCCGAGTTTTCTCACACTGTACGAATCAATTCGAGTGTGAGAATCAGAAGATTCTAGAATATTGAGGAAAACCATGCGAAGGGAAGTGATTTCATGGTGATTGTTGTCGGCCAAGAATCAACTCTATGGGAGGTCGTGGTAGTGGCAGTTATGGGAAATCGAAAACCATGTTGTGAAAAATAGAGAATAGGTTCTTTTTATGTTGACCCTTGAATAGGACCCTTCCCGGTGGATCAGCGAAAACTCGTCTAGAATCACTGATGCTCGAGTATTGCTAAGAAAGCAGAATGGTTCCTTATTAGACTTTAGGCTCTTACCGTAAAATGGGACACCCAACAGTGCTAGTGTACCCAACAAGTTTGACAAATGACCATGAATAAACAAATAAATAGATAATTTAGAAATAAATAAATGAATAAATAAAAATAAGCGAATAAGTAAATAATCAGGTTCGCCTGAAGAAGGAGCGCAATTTCGTTGAAAAGGGTTGTATTTCTTTTAATATTTTATCATTCGTCACATAAGGTTGGAAGCCTCTGCTGACACCCAACGGCTCGTGCGAACTTCACCGCTAGGCTTTCCTCAAAGGTGAACACTTCATTCCATCGGCGCTGTTTTCAGAATAGCTGTTGAGCAACTCAACGTTTTAAACTACCTTTTAAGAATGTCAGGTTACGACTGGTGAAAATCTATAAGTTACCCGACGAGGATTTGGCCAGTACACTTCCTTCTCCGTGTTCCCCTCCCCCTCCCACCGACTTTTCCCGCATTTTTGGTGGTACCACTGACAGTGATACAACGTTGGTACTACGTGACAAAGTGAACTCCGCCCCAAAACTTCAAGTACGTGTAGCGGGGACGAGGCAAATTTGTACGGTAATTGGTACCAGACTTGTCTGGGAGGATAAAAACACTGACTTGTACATCGGCTGGCCCCCGCAAGTCATTGTATAGGCCACATCGCATTCAAACGCCACTACGAATGTACAAATGGAAGTAGAATGCGTGCCGCATCCCAAAAAGGGATTGATCAACGGCAAATGCTTTATCCTTTATCCTATAGCCCACAATTCGACCTTTTTCCAAGGGGATAAACACAAAACATTATTAAGGAATTCTCGATAAATAAATGGACCCAACCTTGTGTAAAGTCGAACTCCCTTCAAGTGCTAGACACAGCTGTTTCAACACACAGAGCTAATTACATTACGTGTGAAGGCCTATGTTGAACTTCCGTTGACAATCGGCGTTCCCTTACCGTACACCGCGGGAATGTCCCCTTACAATCAATTTAGTGGACGACTGCTGTGATAAACAAAAGAGTCGTTCTGGAACCACTCCAATCGCTTCACATTGATGGTACGATGTTTGTAACGGAGTTTAGAAATGAAGTTGGGTGATGTGAGCTCATTTGAAAATGGAGCTTTCTGCGATTGATTTTGAGTATCGTATGAGTGATGCATACAAGGGTCGACCATGACAAAAAGGCGCTGCGGTGAGAGAACAGACAATGAGAGGCAGAAATAGTGGGAAAACGAGCGTGCGCAGCAGCAAACACATCAATCGAATTCACTCTGGCGCAAATTCTGATGTGCGATCTTCTCCCTAAATTGGGTCTCTAGCACCTTTAGTCAGTGGAAACGTCACTACTTTTGGGCCTGAGGAGAAGTCTATGATCCTTCGTGGAGGGCTTTTCTCTATTCAGATGTTTGTGGAATGGAAAATGAAAATGTGGCGTTCAATGGTGAAAAAAATAACAGATTGTGGTCACCACGGTTATCCTCCACAGCCCACAATTACGACCTTTTTCCAAGGGAATAAACACAAAACATTATCAAGGAATTCTCGATAAATAAATGGACCCAACCTTGTATAAAGTCGAACTCCCTTCAAGTGCTCCAGACACAGCTGTTTCAACACACAGAGCTAATTACATTACGTGTGAAGGCCTTGTGAACTTTCCTTGACAAATCGGCGTTCCCTTACCGTACACCGCGGGAATGTCCCCTTACAATCAATTTAGTGGACGACTGCTGTGATAAACAAAAGAGTCGTTCTGGAACCACTCCAATCGCACCACATTGATGGTACGATGTTTGTAACGGAGTTTAGAAATGAAGTTTTAGGTAGTGAAAGCCTCATTATGAAAAATGGAGCTTTTCTGCGATTGATTTTGAGTATCGTATGAGTGATGCATACAAGGGTCGACCATGGACAAAAAGGCGCTGCGGTGAGAGAGCAGACAATGAGAGGCAGAAATAGTGGGAAAACGAGCGGGACGCAGACAGCAATACACAATTCAATCGAATTCACTCTGGCGCAAATTCTGATGTGCGATCTTCTCCCTAAATTGTGTCTCTAGCACCTTTAGTCAGTGGAAACGTCACTACTTTTGGGCCTGAGGAGAAGTCTATGATCCTCGTGGAGGGCTTTTCTCTATTCAGATGTTTGTGGAATGGAAAATGAAAATGTGGCGTTCAATGGTGAAAAAAATAACAGATTGTGGTCACCAACCGGTTAGAGCTTCGGAGTGTGCCAATGATCCGTAAATTGACGAATGTGAGGATCGCGAACGGCAGGAAGAACATCACCATCGTGTAAGCGGCATTACGATACACTACAGTGTACACGCTGTTCACCATGAGATCCGTTGGATAGACCACCAGCGACTCCCTGAACAGCTAGAATTGTTTACTCGATTTTTCAAGACCACTCCGATCCAAAACCATTACGAAAGCTACCATCTCTGATAAAAGGGACCACTGTCCTGGAATTCTTACTGTATACACTGTATGTATGCATTGTAAGGTGGGGGGGGGGGAATACAGGGTGGAGCAGAATTTGGTGCTCCTATGAGTTTTGAATTTTTCCAATTCTTATTCAGACTTCCTTGTTCGATTCTCTCATGATATGTTGCTTGCACATGCTACTACTAATGCGCACTCATTACAAAGTGGTTCGGCCTTCCGTTTTGCGGAGTGCAACCATCAAACTTCAGGGGAGCGCTATGCGAACGTGTTCGTGTCGATTCGAACATTGCTCAAATAGCGCTCAAAATCGATAGCTGTTCAGAACCATTAGCGTGTCTTCACTTTGGAGACGGTTACGGGTGAACTCAGCAAAGGCTCTGCCTAAACGACAGTGACCAAGACTAGTGCACCAACACTGAGCTTAGCAGATAACCTACTGTATCACTAACAACGAATCTCTCTCCAGTTCTCCGCATCAGATCGATACAGTCTAAAGCGGTGAAGCTCCAGTTCGGGGGTGGGAGCAATCCATTGTTTCTCCAATTCTTGAGATAAGGATGAGAGCGCTCATGACACGTAATAGACTTTTTGAATGTATATTTCTAATAAGTCGGTGTAATGTGGGATAAATCTAGAGATGCTTATTTTCGCCCGCCGTGGGTCCAAGGGAACGTTCCTGGACCAGGAGAATGGACACCTCTGCCTAGGCCTAAGGGTGGAGGAACTCCAGGGTGGATGACCTGTGGATAGGATGTAGGCAGGTTGTGTGGAATGTAAGACATCCACCGGTCCTTATCAAAAGTACGCTTGAAATGAGTCGTTCACTTATTATCTTATCCGTAGTGTTCGATAGCCCAAAGAACTGCTCTCTAGTACTACGGATAAGATAGCAATGGAGTGCCCCCCCCCGAACTGGAGTTTCACCGTTTCAAGCATTGGCCACCTCTGAGAACAAGGTCTGCCCTGTCAAATATACAAATTTGAAGGCTCTCGTAACTGAACTCTGGGACGAAATTGATGGAAATTAACCTGCGCGTCGCACGCTATGCGCTTGCCAAACCTCCTAAGATTATGTGAAGGTTAGAGACGATCTTTTTGAACCGTTGATGTGTCTTCGATTGTCTTATTTTTTCTTCTTCTTCTTCTTTCCAGGAAGAAGAAGTAGAAGTCTTATTTTATAATTCATGACAATTCAATTTCTGCGAGTCAGTCTCGAAATGCCAGCAAAATACTAGTGCACCAGTAATTTTGCCCCAACCTGTAATGACATTGGTCGACAGCGACGAGGACAGGCGTAGGTTACGCCGTGCCACGGCTACATGCGAGCAGCATCAAGTGTAAGTATCGCTTTGGTTGTAAAAGCTTGCATTCAACTTCGAGATTGAGGATCGCTATGCATGAACCGGCGTAGAGGTATGCATATTCAGAAGTTTGAAGCATATCAAACAAATATCGGTTTTCTACCTGTCATGTCTTTTCGAGTAACATGGCACCGCTTGCAGTTCGAACCATCGGCTGGTGTTGAAGAAGAAAGCGAAAAGGACTGCAAAAACGATCACTCCCTTCACCGCCGAGGAATTCGATACTCGTTGGATCTGAAAATGGCAGATTCGTAGGACTCTTTAATCTTCACTATATTCCCACAACTTTGTCTTTTCTCCTGGTACAAGGTAGGTTGGTCGGAAAGATATCGCCTTAAAAATTTCTATGGATATTTTGATAACCTATTGACATGGAGATCGGAGGTATGCACTTTGCGCTGTATCACACAACCGATAGTACTTCCTCAACTCAGCCTGGATCTGTTCACCGTATGAGACTGATCGTGTAAGTTGACGACTGCACCGCGTCAGCGACTCTTATCGGGACTGACTGGTACTCACTCATCTCAAAGTCTACAACGCCCCGTGCAAGAAATATTAGTTGTGCAGAAAGTAATGCGGTTTTGGAAGGCGCTACATCTCAGCTACAAGTCAGCATTTTTCATTTCGGAAACCGCTGCCAAGCCCATGTCTGCCGACAATAAAACCTGAACTACTATGGCGTGAAGGCGCGGCAAGCGTCGAAAATCTTGTCCACCTTGCCTCGGTTTTCAAATCTTTTCCAGGTCAAGAAGCTGTCGAGATGACTGAAAAAGTGGAATTTGGTGAGAGAGGATCCTGCGAGGTAACTGTGTAAAGCAAAGCTGGATATTCGTCCAGTTCTTGTGAGATGCTGTTTGTGTGACTGTGCTGTTTCCGGTGCATGCCTCAGTATGCTGAACAGAGATTGATGCTCTCATTAGTGTGTGTAGCCACAAAAACACCGGCGTGGTCCCAACTTTGTGGAAGTTCTGCTTTAGAGTTTTGGAGATCACTGTCTGGATGTTGAAAAACTGTTTTCTTCAGTTGCAAAGGATCCAGGATAGTCTAGTGGATGGCTAAACAATCTTAAAGTCGGTCACTTTGTTAGGGGAAACGAGCTGCGACGAGATATCTGAACGGCGACTTTGCACCTACTCAGCTAGGTCGTGCGGTTCCGAATTTCCCAACTTTCTTGACTTCTCAAATACCTTCCATCGTTTCGAATTTTTTTCGGATGTGCTTGCCCCAGGTTATGCTGTTGGCCGAACCGCACTTATTTGGGACTTCCTTGGACCGGGTTCTCAAAAGATCTTCCAAAACGCCTTCGATTCAAATTGAAAAAGACCAGAAGCCCGAAATGTTCAAAAATTCGCAGCATGAGAAAGAACAAAAAATAAACTTGGCAGCGATGTGAAAAAGAGCGGGACATGAGAGAAAATTTCATGGGAAAATATCTACTGAAAGTACAACACATCGAACCCTGAATACATATTTCTGGATAGCGTGGTGGAAATTTTTCGACCAATCTAATGGCTCTGAAGTCGCATGTCTTCTGCAGCGTTCAAAGGGTCTTGATCAAAGCGTCTTCAATCTTGATCCTATTTTGGTGCTCTCTTTTTGCCAGTGGATGGCGGCCAGCTGAATTCAAACACGGACTGATTTACCAAGTAAAAATGCTGGCTGTGTTGTTACGTGTGCATCATCCGAACCGTACCATCTTCATGTCTCATCCAGAATTTACCCGTAACGTTCAAATAGTGCTGAATGAATTTTCTCTCACTGTGAAAGGCCGCAACCCACGAGTGTCTCGCATGCAAAAAACCAGAGATTGAAATTTCGGCACTAGCCACCGCAACAAATCGATTAAAGGCCTACACAGTCGACATTTTGTTTATTGGAATGCATATAATAGTGCACACATTGTCTGCAAGCACGATTCTAGTGCCACTGTCGCGGATGGAAAGTGCGGCGATCCCGGAACGGCAAGGCTTTGCAAAGACCGCTGCGACCGACTCCGTTCTTTCTCGTCCACAAGCTGCGGGTTGTCTGCGTCCTCTCGCGAAACCTATACCCTCTACGCGCTATGTCACCCCGTTGTGTCACGGTGGACTTCACGAGAATTACTTCATAGAACATATAAACCCCGAGAATTTTTTTCACTTTTTTTGCTGGTCTTGATCCGCAAATGTAATTACGCAAGCGATAAAACCAACCATGAAGCGATAACCCCCACTCCACTGAATCGCACCTCACTGAGACCGACTATGTGAGTAGACGGACATGGTGTGAAGGACCAGCTTTGTGCGAGTGGGTAAAACCACACGATTAGTTACGGCCGACGCTCGCGCCATGTCTAGAAAAGGTGGTTAAGTTTTTTATAAGATCAGAAGAAGCTATTTCATGGCACTTACCGACGTCATCGGACACTTCGCGTAAGACAGTACGAGAATACGAAGAACTGAGGCGATAAAGAAACGGTGAGGTCATCTGAAGGGACAGCAACCAGAAGAACCAGTTGACAGGCTGATTGCGCATCTTAAGCATGCAACATCACGCGATTGTTAGGTAACCCATTTCTGTCTGGGTGAGAATGATATGGCAGGCAAGGTGAGTAGAGGTGGGCCAGGAGCATGGCCCTGCGGCGCAATGGCCCTTCTGCTGCTCGTTCATCCACCTACTGCCTCACTTCCGCGTCTTCAAAACTCATTGATGCACTTTTCAGAAAGGTGGTTTAACACAAGGACGACACCTTTACGAGCATACGCGCCAGATGAGGCGCCAGATGGTTCGCCTTTATTATCAGAACCAGAAAATAGCTTGCCACCCACCAGAATTGCAATAATCGAAGGAGTAATGATGGTTTGAAAATATAAAGGATAAAAAAAAGGATAAAGCATTTGCCGTTGATCAATCCCTTTTGGGATGCGGCACGCATTCTACTTCCATTTGTACATTCGTAGTGGCGTTTGAATGCGATGTGGCCTATACAATGACTTGCGGGGCCAGCCGATGTACAAGTCAGTGTTTTTATCCTCCCAGACAAGTCTGGTACCAATTAACCGACCCCGGAGGGATGGAAGGCTTGGTTGGCCCGGGCGACTCACGACGTGGGGTTTCTGGCGTCCAGGCTTTGATCCTCGCCCGGACGCCCGCGTGGTGAGCGTGCCACTTGCCACTACACCACTTCGGCCCCGGTTTGAAAATATACATATCAAAAAAGATACCGAGAGGGCTGTCGGTAATGTGTTAGAGCGCAGAAACGCACTGACATAGCTAAAAAACGTACAGTCTTCCGTGAGAAAACGACGACATTGATGGAATTGGCGAAAATGCCGAACAGATAGGTGATGGGCATCAAGTAGCACGAAACAAGAACTGAATATTCAGTAAAGAATCGGCAGGAGAGGAGTCGCACACGTCCAGCGAGTCCTCCAACAACTCTCCAACACTCATATACGCTTCTGAAGTTCTAATTAGAAAATTGGGTCGAAACTTGAGACTGTGAAGAGAACACACGGCGAGCACAAAAGCGACTACGGTAAATAAGTCAATCTCGAACGCTGAAAATGAATATAATAAGCAATAAGTCTTTTCTATGGTGTGTTACCCATAGTGGGCAACGTTAAATAGTCAGCCGTCCCGAAGCTTCAGTTCCTCTTGAAGTGTCATCTCTCGATACGAGGAGCAAGGAAAACAACGATGCTTTTCAAGACTGATGTCAGACAAATAGGAAGTCAACAACTAACAAGAGAGTTTTCAACAGAACAATTTTGATACAGAAAACAGAGTCATTTAAAATCGCATGAGAAGAAATGCTAAGGAGTTCAACAGCAGTAGGTTTGTGGCTGTCAAGCCGTTTCCCTCCACTTCACTACGCTTCAATGAGAAATTATTATCGCTCAAGCTGTATCGAGGGAGACGTGCGATGAGGAATGAAAAAGTTGATTGGTTCGAGAGACTTTCGCGACGAATAGAACAAAATCAATTTCCCTTGAACAAAAGCTTCCTTCCCAGTTATTTCTCTTTTTTTGCTTCTCTTATCTCTCTTCTCTTTGATTATATAAAAAAAAAAATTAAAAAAAAAAATATAATAATATTTCTCTATTATAAAAAATAAAAAAATAAACGGGGCTTCGGACGAAATACAAAAATTAACGGCGTCTATGTAAATACGAGGTTTTTTTAAGTCGCGTCTTCTCAGGAACACAATTATTGGAGGCAGTAAGTAGAAGTCAATGGAGGAACTACACAATTCTATAAGGAACTATGAGAAGGTGGTCGCTATCACAAGAAAAGAATACAGGGGGGGGGAAGGACATTTTGCCCAGGTCGCACTTCCGCCTTTTTCTTCACAGGATTGACGTCGTTTGACATGAATCCTCAGTACAAATATTCCCTAAATGTCCCTCTATAAGTACACGCAGGCCCTCCTTCACTACCCTCACCGTCTTCAGAATATGACGTCATCTGTCACCGTCGTCGAGCTCAGGGAGGCCTACAGTAACTGCTTCACCTGAAGCTCTTACATAATTTCTTGGATCGATTCAACGGGATAGTTTCCTAGGGACATTAGCTCTAACTATGCAAACCCCCTCGGAACCCGCCCTTCGGAACCCGTCGTAACGGTACACGGTCAGTCAAGAACACCCATTGAGCTCGACCAGAGCACCATATTTTTAGGGCAAACTTTTCTGATGCCCTGCACGTAGATGGCCACAATTAAGATTTTGTTATGGAATTAGATGCGCTCTTGAATTTATAGTTGGAGCCACACCAGCTTTGGCTGAGCAAAAGTGTTACCTAAATCCGTGAGTCCTGGAGCAAAATGCCTTTTTTAGTGCCCCACTGATGTGCTACTTTGGATTATCTGGGCTAGCAAAAAAAATACTTGTTTCTAGGTAAACTTTCCATCTATAGACGCAACTTTCGCAAGTGTGCCTTACCGGAATAGTGCTAGTTGTACATCGATCCCTCCTGCTTGTTTTCGTTTACATAACAACTGTTTGATCTTTATTAAATTCCTTCGGCACACTGCTATTGATTATATGTGTTTGCCCGTTGTTTTAGTTGTTTTGTGAAATGTTCCAATTCTGAACATTTAGTAAATAACTACTAACAATCATGCCAATAAAAAATAAAACAAAATATAAAAGTCATATAACCTATAAGCCGACGGCCAATTATTCGCCGTTTTCTTCACGCTTATGTCCTCTGATTTTTTTGCTGATTATTTCTATTGCTGATTTGCTTGCCTACGTAGCTTACACACCAAGCAAAAAAGGTCACTTATGCTACATGAGTACAAGTTCGCATGGGTTGCAGAGAAGACTGTTCGAGAGGTTTATTGGTTAACCACTTGTTGTTGTTTTGTCTGATTTATTAATAAACTTATGTGTGAAATGAAAACAGCGGGTAATTTCTGCTCAACCTAACACTTAAAGGCATACCCCCGGATGACATTAGAGTGGCTCCTGAACACGAATGCAAATGTGTTGGTGCCAAGTGGGCCGGCAGTAAAGAAAAAAGGAAAAGAATCCGTCGAAAACGCTCAGGTTGAGGCTCACTCACCTTCCTAATTGGCTGTGCTAAAGGAACGAGAGACTAAGCGATGGAAAGGAGAGGCGCAAGGTGAGGTCGCTGCAGATGAAATACAAATGAGCCTGATAAGAAAAACTTCCAGCTTCAGAAGCTTACTCTGCAAGGCACAAGCGCTATTGTCGGTTGATTTCCGTGCACTGGAACGCCACATTTGGAATGTCCTTTAAGCAGAACGTCTGTACCGAGGAACGAAGCTGCATACCAGCCGTACTCTTTCTCGCTCTGAGTTTCCCCATTCCGAGCGTTTGCCAACATACCTATATTTCCATGCTCACTTCCCCATAGACAGCGAACGAGTTTCTTCCAAATCCGCCCCTGCAGCAATTTTCACTAAAACGGCGTCTCTCTCACAGATATAGTCAGTCTCCCTGCTTCCACCGCTTTACCCCTGTTGGGTGCCCGCCAATCGAACTCTGAACGGCCCCCACATGTGAATCAAATTCCTGTGAGTCACCCCCTTATCGAGTGTTCTCCTTTCTCACCACCCCTATACTCGTAGACCGCCCTCCCCCTACATGTCGACCCGTGCTGTGCCTGTGCGATCTAGCCTTGATAGCATAAACCATGGCGATTACCCCTGCCTCCATCAATACCCTTCCGGAGTCGCTCATATATTTCTTGCATATGGCGCACGTGAGGAAATCTCACCTTACCGGTCCACAGATGCGTACAAGCCTTCCTGAACGCCTTGGATTTACGCTGTCATAACGGTACTCATGAATTATAATTGAACAATATAAATAATGAGCATAGATAAACAACAGTATCTTCTCCGAAAGTCTAATGGAAGCCGACTCCTTTCAATATTGCTTCCGCACGTTAAAGCATCTCTGCAACTATAACTGACCCTGCGGTCAAAAGCTTAATCGATCATCGGACGTAACAGTATGATAATAAATCACATTAAATATCTCGAAACTCTACATTCAATAATTTGTTTTGAAAATTTATTTACATTATTGCAACTATATTTTTAAATATCTATCATTACATTCTGCATGACACAACATCTTGGCCAATGTCACGTCTTTCACAAAATGGCGTGTTAGCTAATAAACCCTAAATAAGGAATCAGCCGCAAATTCGTACCTCTTCATAGCAGTGCACCATTGTGGCTCGCAAGATGTTAGCACCAAACACCCCGCCTGGAATAAAGACGTAAAGAACGCCCAATACCGGAACAGCGACAATTTCCTCGGTCATATCTTAAGCGCACGCGGCTACGATGTAGTTTACTTTGGGGCGGCGGCGACGTCACCGCTAATCTCAATTGTCAACCTGGTAGGGGGAATCCTTCCTAGTGAATGCCCTATGAACTTTGCGAACACCACGTGCATTTTGCATATCTCTCATGTGTGTAAACTGCGTTTGCCTTCCTTCACCGTCCCCCTGCTCTCCTTCCCCTTCGGGCGTCACCTCCGCCCTCACGCAGACTCCACACTTCCGAGAAAACTCCTTGGCCTTCCCGAGTTTGCCTTTTCCAACTCAAGTGTTGTAACCGAACAGTTTACATTTGCGAAAATTACGCCACATCCTTTTTGACAGTAACGCCTTTCGGCATCGACACAAGAGAACGCTGGATGCATTTATACTTCTAAATCCATTTCGCTTCTTCTCACAATCTCCTATCTACTGCTTCCACTTGGTCACCCTCAATAAAATAGCAGACACAATGTCCTTTATGGAGCTAATAGTAGTTCACCATATCCAATGTAATAAAGCGCATCAAATAAACGCTTCCCCAATATACGGGGATTATCGGTTCGCCTCTGGCCACCCACTAAACTTCAAGATATACGCCTCGCGCAGCTATCAATTAAGCCTAATCGTAATTGAACCAAGCTCGTATACGTGTGTCAAGAGAAAAGATATGACGGAAGTAGCGATACAAGCTTCCACTTTGCTCACACTTCACGAGTTCGCCGTAACGCCGTTCCACTATACATTCATTTGTACAAAACCTGCCAGTAACACTCTTTAGGCATCCCCACCCCCCGGCCTACGTCCAATCGCACTCCCAAGTCATACGGTCACATAATCTCGTCATGGCAGCAAACTCATCGATTCTATTCGATGGACAACTCTGAGAGCATAACAATAAGACAATGCAACATTCTCCCATATAATCTATCCTATGCACCATGCTATGTTAGCCTGTTCACAAAGCGAAAAGCAAATATGTATGCTAGCTACAATAGTGTATTCTATACAACCCACAGTATTAGCATTTCTTCCTAACCACGTCCCAAATAGCCTCGAAGAACACTTAATGTAAAGCACACAAGTCTCACATAACTTATCACGACAAACTCTGCTATGTATTGCTCAAGTACTAAATGCCCTAACGAAAGTTATGTTAATAGGTAGTACCTCGAATAACAAATAAATACACATCTCTTTACTTTAGCCACATCAATGAAAATAAACGCGAAATACCATAGACTATAATATGATATTCAAAACTCCGTCCGTAAAGGTAACCGAAGTCCTTCTGATACTTGAGACAATTTAGAATAACTTAGTGCGCCACAAGTCGAGCACAGGTGTAACCATTGGAATCGCAAGATCTAGAGCTAGAGTCGTGTTATAATGTCGCAACTCCGCTACTAGTCACAACCCGTACTTGGCCCGAGGGAAGAAATTCACAAATCCCCGGGAGATGAAATTCGCAGATGGCATGTACGGCTCTTCTGGGTACCAGAATCTTGGCCTGATCCCCCAAATCTTATTCGTAGGGGCAATGGCCTGTTTTTCTTTTCGGGATTCCCCTCATAAGTGAATGTCGTTTCAAATCAGCACTCTCTACTCCACCCTGGGTCACCTCACGTTTGTCTGGTACACAGCGTAAATCATATGCCC